CCCCCTTGCCTCAAGTCGATTATGGTGCCATAAAGCAGGCCATGTCTCTGAGGTGTTTAAGCAATGCATATGGTTGAACAGGTGTATGTTGATACCAGAACGGCACGACTGGTAAGCGAAAACAAATCGAAAACATAACCCTGATATTCTGGGGAACAGTCAATCAGACAACTTTCGATGCATAATACTGACATTTATGTTTCCGAATTTTAATGGCGAAAACGGAGTGGGAGCGTAAAAAAACAAAAGTGAATTTCATATTTCCACCGACACTGTCATAATGTAAGAGAGATACAAGTCTCTTACCTGACAACGCCGCATCATTGCACTGTCTCCTTGCTTCTAGACGCCTGAGATCACTTAAACAAGCCGCAGTTTTATGGTATTTAAGCAATTGTGGTGCATAGGACCCATGATCGTGTCTGTTAATTGGCTTGAACAATAATTTTCGTTCACCGATCGTGGCGTTTATCTGAATGTTCATTTTTTCATCAGCAGCAATCAGCACCAACGTCTTTTACTGCCCGCCAACGCATTTATAAACTATTCTATAAACGACCATTTACAGTTTACACTACTGGTCGACTCAGCTGTCAGATAGGTCAAATGGAATTACAGCCATAATTTGCGTACATGAAACAAAATCACTGTTTGTCTTACCCGCTTGCGCATGATCACCAGAGTGCCATCTTATCCTACTGTTCACATGTTAACCGACGGTTTGTATAGGTTTTGTTTCTGAAGGCAGTGTAACGACTTCGTATGTTTCTTGTTCAGTGGATTATCAGTTAATGGAAGAACTTTCTGTATTCTGCTCCTAGATTGAGCGCGGCAATTCTAGCACAAAGCATACCGCAAACCCTTTGAACGCCGCTCCTGACTAAGAGTAACACCACTACCAGAGTTACTTACTGTGGTTTTTAATAAATGATTGCATTTTGCTTTTGAACTTTAGCCAGAGGTTCGGGTGAAGGGCGGACGATATGGAGTACTGATTGCTACCTACACCCTTCAATACTTAAAATAATACGCTCAGGCATGCCCGAGAATTTAATTGAATTGCTACAGTAACGCACTGAATGAAATGCAGGTTTAACGTCGAAGGAAAGAGCAAACAGACAAATCGAGTCGTGGGCATTCGTAAATAATTCAGCGAAATATGAAAAATTGGTTACAGGAGAAACGTACCATCCGAAAGCTCATAACATCTTATTCTTTTCTAGCAACTGGTCGTCAAGAAAGACCTTCCAGGATAATTCACCAGGCTAATACCACTAAATCCATGAGAACTTTGTTATTTGTTTGTTCGCCTCCTTTAAATTAAACGTCAATGATGACTGACTCGGTTTGCAAAGATTTCCATTTGCGATGGACATGTAGCTATTGTATCACTGCTTTGTCTGCGCATCGGATTAATTCCAGAGGATTCAACTCACGTTACTACTACGGTTTTCTCAAGACCTAGCAAGGCATTTTGGATCTTATGGCTTTGTTCCTAAGTATCAAACTGTGGCTGCCGCAACTCCGGAATTAGGAAGGATCTACAGAATTTCAAAATTCACACTGCGAACATAGAGAAAAGAAGAAACAATTCGAAACAGGGAAAATATAATGATATCGGATTGAAACGGCGAATGCAGTACAAAGGAAGAAAAATCGTAAAAACACAAAACTGTGCTCAAACAAGGTTTAGAGACACGATCCGTAGGCGTACTTTTGTTCAGTGCACGCGCGACACGCCGTCCCCCGTTTTATGCACTGCAAGCGCTTCAATACCAAGGAGCGTTAGCCGATTAAACGATCTCCCTAGCCGTCTAGAAGTGAGGGGCGGGACAACAAAGCTACTGGTATAGACTGAGAAATTGGTTTTACTTTCTTTACACTGTTCATTCGCCGCTTTAATCCGGTATCGTCATTCTTGCTATGATATATTCAGTGGCGGTACCGAAAGCTCGCCCACAACATCATGGTTCCAATTCAAAGATGAGTCCTTATTTGGACTTTCACACTGTTCACTTTCCCCTTATTTCCTTGAGCAAAAGTTTTCCATGCATTGCTTTCGACCTGGATTACTCAGTCATCGTCAGAATTGGCAGGTCTTGGATTCGAACACTGGTCACAACACATCTTCGTCTTCCATCCAAGGTTAATGCGACAGGTAAATCGAGACTAGCTCCCCTACCATTAACTTCATGAAAACAAGAATGTTAAAGCTGATTCTATCATCAATGCATAAGGAAGACCGACATCAGAACGATTAAAAATTTTCCTTTCTCTTGTGCATTGCCGAGTCTCACATTTGAATGGTAACATTGAAAGATAATTTTCTGATCTGCGTAACTTTGTTAGAAAGTTTGTTTAAAGCGCATAAGTAACAATCCAAAAAGTTTTAATCAAAAACAGCAGTTATTCAAGTAATGACTATTGCAATAAATGCAAACTTACAACATTCTAATAGGACGAAAAGCGCATGGCTTCGACTGTGAAGTTAAAAGTTTACTCTAACAAAAGTCAGCATACTGACAGAAGCCGCTGAACAACTTTTAAATTCAATTTTCAAATCACTTGCACGTATTTGTACTGCCACGACAAACTATAAAACCTTAAAACGATGATGGCATGAATACTAACTAACGTGGTTGAAACAATACGGCATGATCATCATTAAGAATTAAGAATCCACTGCAATACCGTTGACGCTCGGCATATCAGCGACAACAGAAATCAACCTAACACGGGGTTTAAAAATCAAACACAGCAACATCAGAAGGCATAGAAAGCGGCACAAACGGCTGGCAAATAAGTCATTAGCCGACGTTCGTGCAGAAGGTGACTATACAAACAGACGCTGTAAAGAAGCAAGTACCAAAATGAGAGCTGCTCGCACGGACGGACAGAAAGTGTACTTTGAAATTTGTAGCTGACAAGCGGAAGAAACTATTTCAGATCGATCTTGACAGCTTCAGTTTCGTATATGCTGTCGTGTTTGGCGAGAATTCGGAGCAGCGGCCTGAGCTTTAGCCACCAGCTCTGCTTTGGCATGCGATGTTCGAAATCGGTTTTCTCACTGAAACACAACGGTCCGTAAATACACCGAAATCTTAAGAACGGCTAGCAGTAGTGACGCTAATACCTCAGATCGAAAACGGATGTGAACTTCGAATGACGATCCACCATGCCCAACAAACAAGCGCTCTCTCTATCCATCGTGTAAACTGAACCGTCCTCTCGTCGACACTGTCTGCAGATGTCGACGATATTTTCGACGGCGTGCGCGGCCATGCGAGTGGCCATATTGCGATCGAACGGTGACGGGCTACCGCCCTGTTGCGCGTGACCAAGAACGTTGATGCGAGTGGTGAAAGCGCCTTTCCCTTCTTCGCTGAACAACTGCATGAGGAACTGCGTCGTGTAGTTCTGATTGGCGTTCTCGTTTCGCATAATGATATAGCGCTGGACACCCTTCCGCATTTTCTGGGCAATAACGTGAACGTCTTCCTGAAAACAGACAATAACAAGTGTATTTACAGCCCAGCCTAAATGTCGTGCATCGAGCCCCGTACCTTGATGTCGTCCACTGAGAACGGTTCTTCAAAAATGTACGCGTTGTCTGCGCCAGAGCCAAGGGCTGATAACGTAGCCAAGTATCCACAATAACCGCCCATCGTTTCTACAATAAATACACGCCGCTTGGTCCCAATAGCCGATTGCTTCACGTTGTCGATAAGTGTACAGATTTCGTCCAATCCCGTGTCTGAACCAATCGAATAGCTAAAATAAAGTACATCAGATCATCAAAGCCAAATTTATGCCATCTAGTTCTTTCATACTCGCTGCCGGGAACGTTGTTGCTGATGGTGCACGGAATAGCGACCATCGGTATGCAGAATTCCTTGAACCTGGTCCTTTCGTTAGCCATGATCAGACAAGAATGATATGCTTCGAAACCACCGATCATCAACAGACCGTGGATATTAAACTTTCTAAACTGTTCCGCTACCTTCTCCAAATTTTTGGTAGGCAAAGATTTCTGCGTGCCTAGAAACGAACCGCCATACATCGTCCAGTTATTAACATCCTGCCAGCTCATCTCCTGAAAATAAGGCATATGAATACATGAAAGTCAACAGAAATTAAATCACAAAAAACATAAAATAGAAAAAACAACCAATAGAACTTTATGTCAGCATGGCCGTTGACACGCCGTC